TTAATTTTTAAAATAAATTGCTTAAGAAGAAGGGCTTAATTGCTTTGATCCCAGAGTTCAAGGGCTTAACTGCATCAATTAGAGTCTAGGGGCTTAATAGCGATTCTGGGATTAGTTCAGGGGCTTAACTTATGGTTTTGCCTTTAGTTATTTACATGGAAGAAGTTATCTGGAAGCGTGCGGTTAAAGCACTGAAAGCCCAACACAAGCAAGACTCAGGTGCCGTCCACTGCAGAGGAAGCACAAACCGGAGCAGAAGATGGCATCAATGGCGGCGAGTCTGGGCGTCAATTTGTTGAAGAAACCGGCAGTTCTTTACCACTACCCCTGTCCCGACGGTGCTTTTGCCGCTCTCGCCGCTCACCTCTACTTCTCTTCCTCGTCGCTCCCTGCCCTGTTCATTCCCAATACCGTTTACACCCCGGTCAGGGCGGAAGACCTTCCACTGCGAGAAATTAGTGAGATTTACCTTCTGGATTTCGTCGGACCCAAGGGATTTGTGAATGATATTTCCTCCAGAGTCGGCAGAGTGGTGGTATTGGATCACCATAAAACTGCAGTCGAGATGTTGGACGCTGATGCTTCAATCGGGGAGAATGTAACTAAAGTGCTAGACATGGAGAGGAGTGGGGCAACGATTGCTTATGATTATTTCATAGAAAAACTTGTGAGCGGAGGCAGCAAATCTGATCTGAGTAGATTCGAGCGAGTTAGGCGGTTGTTTGAGTACATTGAAGATGGGGATTTATGGAGGTGGAGTCTTCCTCACAGTAAAGCTTTCAGTAGTGGGTTGAAGGATTTGAAAATTGAGTTTAGCTTGCAGTTGAACCCCTCTTTGTTTGAGCAGGTGATTTCCCCATCTGTTTTTGGTGTCAAATTTTCACCAATTCTGGGTGTCTTGCAATTGCTTGAATTTCTCTTCTTTTTTACAGCTACTTTCTTTAGATGTGGATTCTATCATCAATCAAGGAAGGGAGAGCTTGCAGCATAAGCAAAAATTAATTGAAGAAACTCTTGCTCAATCATATGAAATTGCACTAGGAGGTGGAATATTTGGAAATTGCTTGGTATTGTGAACATTCCTTTTGTCTCTCTTGTAATGTTAAATCTGGATCAACCTGAGGATACCAGTACTGATAGTAAAGTTGAATTTTTTGCTGTTTTGTTCTTTAAAGAGGGTAGTCTTATTAAGATTTTTTGGTTATTGATTGTTGAATTTTACATTCATCAATATTTTACTACTACATGCGATCTAGTATTTTTCATGCTCGCTTAGAATGATATTGTTTTAGACAAAAGTGAAAGTGAATACAAATTTTATGGTTTTTGTTCTTGTACTTGCAGGCTGTTGATGCAGATTCTGTTTCTGAGTTAAGGAGTGAACTGGGACACCAGTTAGCTACTAAAAGTTTTAACCTGAAGCTTAGGTATATGTTACTCATTTTGGTTTTGAGAATCTTTGTGCACTTGGTTCTGTTTGCTTGATCTTTTAAATGTTAGATGCATTCAATGGTTTGCTGTGCTTGAGGCAGAGAGAGATATCGTCTTAAGAAACTGAAAAACTTGTAGGTCCAACGGTGGTCAATTGAAGGATATATAAATTGATTCTTAAAGTATTTTTTAAGACACCACTATGATATTAAGTCAAATAGAGACTAAGGGTTGAACGTTTAGACAATCAATTTTACTCCTAGAGAGCAAGTATAAGCTCCTAACCCTACCTTGGTTAGAGCGTAGCACTAACTGATTAATGTTTTATCAACTAAGTGGTTTCTTTAAGATTGAAAAATGGATAAATGTAGTATCATCAAGTCAAATGTAGAGGTTTAATTATTTACATTTTCATTAATTGTATTTCTTGTTGACTTTTAAATGACTACAGTCTTGATTAATGAGATGACTGTAAATGTGGGCTATATCTCTGATTGGCACTAGGTTGTCTCTTTATTTGCTGAGTTTCTTTGATGCACTTGTGTGGTAGCCTACTTGTTCTTCAATTGAAGAATGTCAAATGGACAGAGATTTGACAGAGGCACTTCAACTAACCTTTTATTTTATGTTGCACTATAAGATGATCAAAGAGGTTATGTTTTTGATCCATGCCTTGGACTTCATAAACCATAAAACCCATAGCCTTTGTAACATAACCTTTGATCCTCATCTGCTTACTGGTATGGGATGATAAATAAAAAGTTTACAATGGATGATCTCTGTTTTCTCTTATTTCAATCCATCATTTATTTCAGATGTCCATCTTGTTTCAGAATTCTAATTTCTTTTAGAGGTGTGATCTTGATACACCTGCAAGTATGTTTTTTCATTGAGATGACATACTTGGGATGTTTCTTTTTGTAAATGGCTGCTTATTAAATACTTTTAAATAAAATATATTTTTAGTTATTTCTTTTGGTTTTTCCTATAGGGGCATTGGAGCTGTTGTATATAGAGTCCCACAGTTAGAAAATGACCAAATGCTGAAAATAAGCCTGAGGAGTTTGGATAGAGAAGACACAACACCTATATCACAGGTCTGACTGACATCCCATTTCCTTTGTGAGTTGATGGATGATATGTAATACTAACATCATGCTTGAAATCTGTTTTTGGGTGATTTCATTTGCAGGAGTACAGGGGCGGTGGCCATCGAAATGCTAGTTCCTTCTTGTTAAGCTCTGCTGAATTTGAGAAGTGGAAGGTTTAGCTTAGGGGCAAGCCTTGGGATTGCATACAAGTATCTGTGCAGCTGACACAGCAAATCAATGCCCTTGAAGATGGGGGAAATAATTCTCAAAGGTAATCAAAATCATCAAAAAGAAAACCAAAACAAGAATTCAGAAAACCGTAACTTTTTTGGTTCAATTAGAAAAATGTTTGGTTGTTTATTGTTGTAATTTTTTTATTTATGTAATTTGAAATGAAATAAAAAATAAAATAAAATTGATCACAATGACTCTTGTATCATCTTCCATGCCTATAAATAATTTAGATTTTCTGGTTCTATATATTTTGTATTAAGAATTGTTTTCCTCTAATTTGAACATGAAACTTTTAATATAGGTCAAACCGATCCTTTTTTGGCCTTAGCCTTTTCAACAGGCAAGAAAGCATGTGTGATCTACAAAAACTATAGAAATTCCTAGATTTGCCACTGCAAGAAAACATTTCATTGTCATAGTTAACGCAGTATTACAACTTGGAAGGATTGTTTCAATTTCAAGCTTAAGCGCTATATTTCTCCACTTTCTTGCCGTTAAAGAACAAACAAGGGAAAGAGCCTGCAAGTAAATTACTCAATATAATACTCTGCAAATTCAAGAGTGAGAAAAGATCTTTTTTATTTATAGAAGTTATAAACATTACTAATATAATTCAATTAACAGATCAAAGATAGACGTTAGACCCTACTCAACTAGAGACGATGAGTTACGCCTTGGTGCAATCCGTTGGCTTAAAGGACACAGTCTGCTTCTGAGAATCATATCCAACCAAGAAATTCATTTGCGCCAAGTTTCCATAGATGGAAATACCATTGTTGTCAATACCTATGAATGTAAAGCACATGACCTGCTCACTCACTTGAACAAAAGTGTTTAAAGGCTTAAGCTTCACATCAGCACCTTTGAAATGGACTGTTAGCTCGGGAACTCCAATATCACCTTTGGCAATGCTGTAGCAAAGTTTCAAACCTGACACTGGAGATTCTACCTGCGTTGCATTGATCTTGCTAGATACAGATTCCTCTAGTTTTGAGTAGAAATCAGAGGGTAACAGTGTCAGGGTAGTGCCAGAATCTATGATGATGTTTCCTTCCGAGGCTCCAGAGGACGAACCTAAGAAATCTATTCTGTCACCATCAACGCTGATACCTTCTAAGGTAAGGAAATAGAAGGTATCTGGAGTTTTCTTAACCAAGGGAGTAGAGACTGCTCCAACGCCGGAAACAATGCCATGGGAGCCAAAGTTTATTTTGCTTGAGGATCCAGGAGTGGCAGTTAAAGGCACCAAGCAATAGGAGAATTTACCCCCTATGGACTCTCCCATCTGGGAAATTAGAGACACATCACCACCACCTAGGCCAACAATACCGGACCCCTTCTCATTGAAGGTTCCATCATTGTCATGTCCGCAACCAAAGGTGGTTTGAGGAAGAGCCACTGGCCGGCCACTTGTGGAAGCTAAGGTGAGTGTATCCGAAACAAGATCCCCATTTGAAAAAGATTGGTCACCATAAGCAACTGAATAAACGCAAGTAGATTCTGATTTGGATTCTTCACCAGAACAAGAGGTTCCCTGTAGTTCCTCACATTGCCTTGAGGAGCAAGGAATGGTTTTGTATGTGGAGGAAGATTTAGGGTTGTAAAGTGGAGCTTCCTGCTTGTAACACTCAGAACAAGGCATGCATTGTGTCCAAACCAAATCACTACCGGTATCTGCAATTGCCAGAATCGGAAATGGCGGGGTCCCAAGGGATATATTCATTAAGTATTCGCCCGAGTTGGGAATGATATTGGACCTAGGTGTGTCAGTCGTTTTGGATGAAAGAAAGTGATTGGTACGGGTAATAGAACGACGCAAGGCATTGGCAACTCTTTGAGAAGGAATCTCCAAGGGGTTGTAGAAGGGAGACTTGGGAGAATCACGGTGGATCAACTCCACACTAAAGCCACCGGTTTCGGCTGTGGAGGCGGTGGTGGAAAGAATTAAGCTGAGGAAAAAAAGGCAAAAACTTCCAGTTACCATGGCTGCCATTACTAGAGAATTGAAGGAGAGAAGATTTCTGGGAATACATTAGCTTGAGGGTTTATGTAATTATATAGGGGAGATTAAGGAGTGATTAAAGGAATGAAGAATAAATTAGTGATTTCATTGGTGTGCATGAAGGATGTGCCAAGGAGAAGGAATATACATTAAACGGCCAGAGTCAGAGAGAAAGAATGAGTTTAATTTTCCTTTTCAAATAAATGTATGATATATTACTTTAATTGATTGAGGAGAATATGGAAGGCGGATGCATCCTTCCTGTCCCTGTAAATAAATTTGCATATTCAATGTTCTCTTTTGAGGAAATACCTTCGTTTTTTAGAAAAGTTAAGTGCTTTATTTTTGGCTATTTCA